GTTTGCAAGTCTCTTCATCGTTATGGACATACAGTGGAGCCTTCGCTTTACTTCAATCTTGGCTCGTTGGAACTATCTAATAATGATATGTTAGTACTGTGATTCTTGCATCGGGATTTTAATTTTCGTTCTGTTTGTCCTGAAGCGTACTCTTAATCTTCTTAAGCACTCTTAATCTTATTAAGGAAAGGTAAGGTATCCACGATCATTCCAGATTTTGACATAACCCTATTTATACTTCTACAGTATACGAAATAGAAGCCACTAAAAGCGGACCAAGAATTATTTCCTGGCGAGTTGGTAGGAAATTTTATAATATATTTACACCAAACTTTCCTATTAAGGTTTTAAATTTTTAAGCCAATTAGATCAAAATCCATCTAAAAACATTCAGCTGCCATATAGAGAGTAGAAGAATTTACCAAGCTCTTAATGAAAATGTAAATATTTTAATTTAATAAGTGGTTTTAGTTATGTGTTTCAATAATATTTTTTCAACATTATTTTTAAACCAAATTAACAGTTTGTGAAAATAAAATAATATATCACAAATGCTATATTCATTTGGTATGTGTCACCGATTATATTGATTTATACAAAATAAGTTATTTATTTAACTTCATTCGCTTAGATTTTATTACATAAGTCGCTTTTACTTAAGATAATTATAAAAACTTATTCAAGAGGATTTTTAAGAGTACCACAAAAGTTGCACATAAAAAATGTGAGCACTCTCTCCTATCAACTTTTGCTGAGGTAACGTTTGTTCCGCTAAAAATTCAAATTATTTAATATATCAAATTAATATTTTATAATATATAAACCTTTAGGGTTTTCTGATAAGGACTGAGATGCCTTAAGGCGCCAAATACCCCCAAGAACAAAAGAATTTCTCGATTTGTCGATTCTTATATTAAAATTATATTCCCGAAGGAGTTTTGATAGCAAATCATTTTATTCTGTATTTATTTTCAAAGTGGTTGCTTTTTAGAAAGCTATATAAACCCATTCACCCATCTGATTGGGAATTAGTCGAAAATTTTTGCCCGTTGATTTTGTTGCACCATAAAATGAAGCTGTATTTTTTATTTTCGGAATATTTGTGGAGTTGATTATCCTGCCAGCAACGAAGCCGGATATTCCTGGATGTCACTTCCTAGAAACTGTGAATATAACGTCTAGTCTGAGGCTACAAAATGGCTCCTATATGTACCAAGACATCGAGATTCCTGAATATTTGACTGGTCAATATGATAACATAACAACGGAGTTGGATTATAATGAAACTGTAAAGAGCCACTTACGAGGATGTATCTGTCACCTGAAACCTTGCATATGGATCTGTTGTCGCTTTAAAGATTGGGATGAATCCAATAGTAAATGCACAGATGGTTTGATGGAGGAGCTGGCTAAAATCAATCCCTTCCTTAACGTGACACTCATCAATGGGTCAGTGGTAGAAACGAACTTGCTAAAGGATTTTATCGTGTTGAGAGATCGAATTCGGTTTAATGATCTTTGGGGAGATGAGAAGTACACATTATTCACGGATAGTCCTTCTTTTTGTTCCATGTTTCTATAGCTAATTTGATACCCTTAGAACGGCAGTATACTGCTTAATAGTTTGAACATGTTTGACTTCAGGGGATATGACTGTCTCCATCCAAATCAGTTTACTTCAGGCAACACATAGTCCTTTGTGGCTGCCTTCCATCATGAATTGTATAATGAGAGGTCCCTATCACTGAAACCAGGACAGAAAGAGCGTAAGAGGAGTCACTATGTAGCCACTTGAAGAAATTGCTGTCCTCTAATCTTTCAAATATGCAGTCGTGTGCCTTTCAGAAGTTTTCTTGGTTCTCACAATCGCAGTGTATCTTCACTTAAAGAAGCTCCGGAATCTGCACGGAAAGTGCTTCATGTGTTACATGATATGCATTATGCATTTTTTCTTTCCATTGCTAAAAGCCGTTCCAATTCATTTGCAGTTGTGCGTTTTACAAGGTATGCATGTTCTTTAATAATTTAAATAAATTGAATGTAAATGTATTGTTTTGTCCTCAAATTGCAGGTTACGTCATGATTTATTTCTTCATCGCCAAATTCAGTTGGCTCTTTGCTTTGAGCCATCAGTTGTGGAGAGGCTTTACATCGGTCAATCGAGTTGCATCTGAATATAGCTTCGGGGCCTACAGCATCTTTGCCTGGGTTTGGCAGCTATCCTGACGGGAGTACCTTTCCTGATTGATCAGATTTGGGATAGCGATCCCAACAAGATGGAATGGGTGTCCGGCATTGGTTGGGAAAACTGTGAATATATATGTAGGTTTTTGATAGTATTATTATCTCTTGCACAAGGAATCCCAGAATATAATTTTTCTTATTTTCAGTTGCCTATAACTATTTTAGGTACATTTTTTTAACTCCGTTGGAAATACTAGTAGCATTAAAAACAATCCTTATTATGTTGACCACTATCAGCATTATACGAGTAAAACTCTCACTGAGGCACTTCTCTGACCAGGACGAGAGGGCAAGGAACCTGAACTCCCGAATGCAAACGTAAGATCTATTTTAACATTACTATCATGTGACTTGAGTTTTCCACAATCCGATCGCAGGTTTAGAATGTTTGCAAGTCTCTTCATCGTTATGATCATTCAGTGGAGCTTTCGCTTAACTTCAATCTTTGCTGATTGGAACTATCTTCTAACTATATGTATATACTGCGATTGTTATTATATTCGTTTTGTTTGTCCTGAAACGCAGCACTCTTAAGCTTCTTATGGAAAGGTGAGTTTTCAACCGTTTGTTCAGATCTGTTTTAATAATAATGTTTTTTTTTTTAAATGTAGTATTCTAGAACGGAGAAAACTGGATCAAGGGTTCTCTTTTAATTCTATTATGTTTTTATAGGTTAGTCAATTAGATTTGTTGTTCTAATTTGTATATTAAGTTAATAAAAGCAATATAAGTATGTGCTTTCTTCTTTACCAAACCGGAGCTGCGCTTGCTAAAGCTTAGCAGCTCTGCTATCAAATAATATAAAATTTATGAGTTCTGAATACCTCGAGTGCCACGCCCCATAATTTGCCCCTGTTGTTGGCCGGGCGCCATCAGAACAACTTATGCAGGTTACATCTGCCTGTCTGCGCTGCTCTTCGCTTTGGGATCGTCCCCGAATAACCCCTCCATGTTCATCGGAGCAATCCGACCAACTAGCCGAACGGATTTTGGCATTCTGCTGACTATTTTTCGCGGACGCCTGAGTTTCCTCAGTCGCCAGAGAGTTGTGGAGCCGTCAAGTGCGCGGAACACGCAACTGATCGCCCATGTAAATGCCGTAGAATCGACCAATATCCGCCGGATACTGCAGCCAATTTGCCAGTGACTGAAATCATTACAATTTGCCAAGTATTTCCGCAGCAGTCTCGTGGCGAATGTTACGAAATTGCATTATTTTTTCGGCAATTTTCGGGGCGTTGCAGCCGCACAAATTGGCGACCAGAACCAGGCAAAAGACCTATAAATAACCCAGGCAAAGGGTGAAACAAATTTTTGATAGGTAAAATGTAATTAAACACTGTTTTGTGAGTGTTTTCAGCATTTAAATCTATAATATAAACATCAAAACCAATCTGCAAGGGTATACAAACTTCGGCGTGCCGAAGTTAGCTTCCTTTCTTGTATTATAATTTCAGTCAGAAGTTTGCAACGCAATGAAGGAGACCTATAAAGTATATGTATATATTCATGATCAGCATCAACAGCCGATTCGATCTAGCTATGTCCGTCTGTCTGTCCATCTGTCCGTCCGTCTGTCCGTTTCTACCCAAACTAGACCCTCAGAGCACCCTCTTCTATATACTCTCACTGCTATATACATATTTCGGAACGGGCCGGCTGCCATACAAATGTTCGATAAATTTTTTAGAAAAAAATTATATCTTGGCTGTTTTTCAACATTTTTGCATAATTTTTGAGATATGGCCATTTTATATTATTTAGAATTTCGTTTTTAATGTTATGAAAATCGGACGACTATATCTTATAGCTGCCATAGGAACGATCGGAAAATTAATAGAAAAAAATTTAACCTTCGTTGTTTGTCAACGTTTTTCGTCTACTCTGAGATATAAGCTTATTTTATTATTTAAGAATTTTGTTACAAATTTCATAAAAATCGGACAACTATATCATATAACTGCCATTGGAGCGATCGGTAGATGTAGAGAAAATGTAAAACTGGGAATGTAAAACTGTAACTGTCAAACTTTAAACATAATAAGTATAGGTAAAATTTAATGAAACTCTGTTTTGTAAGTGTTTTCAGCATTTAAATCTATAATATAAACATCAAAACCAATCTGCAAGGGTATACAAACTTCGGCGTGCCTTCTTGTTCTTCCTTGGTTTCTTTTTCTCTGACGACGGCATGCTTAGGAGGTGCCTTATGACAAATTTCAGCTAAATAATGTAGCACAAATGCCTTTAAGGATTGTAATTTTGAATATCTATCGAATTACATTATAAGTTCCATTGTATTTATAGCAAGGAAAAACTATTCAAATTAAAAATAAAAATTATAAAAGAACCACATTAAACAGATAACAATATTATATTTAATACTGAATACATATGTACATATGTACATATGTACATGCATATTTTATGTATGTTGGTTCGTTTATTGTCCAGTACTTCGTCAGGCTTTAACAAATTCAAATTTACTAGCTCTAACATTGAGCCATTTTCAAATTTGTTCCACATAAATATTTTTCAAGAATGGAACAAGAGGAACTGCTGGCTAATTTAATCAATCACGTCAATCACAAGTCAAGCCATAATAAAGGTAATCTCATTGAGTTGCAGGAACCCGTTAATGCTTAGCCATCGCTCTAGCGGAATATTAAAAAGACGGGAGGGAATTGAGGGAAAGCCACAGTCCCCAATCCTATAAAAAGGGCCCACAACAAACGATAGCTACCAGTCTGCTTAAGGAAAAGCCCAGAATGGGACTCAGGAGCTGTTCGCACTTCGCCTCGCTGGTGATTCCACTCTGGGTGTTGGCTCTGTACTTCTTGTTCGTAGTGCCGGAAGCAGCACAAGCAACCAGTCTTGATATCGGAAAGGAAGAAAGGCGGGTGCAAGACCTGGAGTCAAAAATAGGGGCTGAAGCGGGACAGTCCGGCGGTAACATTGTGGGACTTTCGCTTTCCGGGCTCGGTAACTCACACAACAGAGTGGGCTTTGGAAACAGAGTGCCACTGTTTTCCCGTCCTCTGATACCTATCGAACTGGACCTGCTGCTGGACAATGATGACGATCGGACGAAAGCGAAGCGCTTCGATGACTACGGCCATATGAGGTTCGGCAAGCGCGGAGGTGACGACCAGTTTGATGACTACGGTCACATGCGATTCGGTCGGTAATTCAATTTAAACGATTTGGTGACGAGCGGCCAACCTGAGTGATGTGCTTTTGTAAATAGCTTTTATGCGAATATACCATAATTTAATGCTACAACCATAGAACATAATAAACTAGCGCATTTCAAACAGAGCCTTTTATTTAAAGCCTGTACTCCCTACCTATAAAGGGTGCGGTGTCTATTATGAATACCACGCAAATGATGTCACGATTTCTACCGTTAACTGGGAAAAACATTGGTCGGCCATAATTACCTTCCTTCAGGTGAAAATGCCGCGCATTCCTATTCCCTACAATATTAAATCCATAATATCACTTGGAAGTCATTCGTTAAGTTCATTAATAAATATGTTTATTTTGAATTCATGGAGGCCATTCTACCGCAGCCGTTTTAGCTTCCCAATTTATTTACTTTAAGTACTTCTTTGCAGCTGGTACCCTTAGTCACTTGGTACAATATTGTGTATCAGTATCCTTTATTCTGAAACACCATTCTTAAATGTAGAATATAAAATAAATAAATTCAAGTCGGCAGATCTACAATATTTATATTTTTCCTTGTGCAACACATTAGAATAAACAACGCGTAGGGAAATGTGATTTAATTTAATCTTTAAGCTAACATTTAAAACGTTTTGATTTTTTTACGTATTTTTAGTTAACTTTGAGTTTGTTTTTAAGTTAGTTTAGTTCTAATATATTTGTACCGTTAGTATATATTAAAATTTTAATATAGATGCTTCGGCCAGTTGTTTCAGTCAAGTGATGTGTAGTAATGATTAAAGATTTTTAAATTCATCCAGTCTTTGCGAAATTCCATAAGCGTTTAATGCGGTTGTAATCGACCTCCGCAGATGTTTAGTAGAAATAAAAGTTTTTTATTTCAACATTTTAGAACCTCGTCAAATACACAAAAAAAAATGGCGTAGGTTGAATAAACAATTTGTTTTTGTTGAGTTACCTATTGTCAATGCATTTTGTTGTTGGATTTTTGACTGTACGAAACTGCTGTGACAGTCAATTACAGTAACCCTTACGTTGACTTTGGGGACTGTAAATTACTGTCAGGTGCAGTAAAGATATTGTACGTTTTACGTATAAAGTTTTAGGTATTGTATGTATTCACGTTCCCGACATTTGTGTTTGAATTGGCTCAGTAGCCCAGCCGGTAAGCGGACGTTCTGTCGGATCTGAGACATTCGTTCAAATCCCGAGACAATTTATATACTAAGTTAACCAATTTTAATAACCATTTATAGATCTATAATTACTGATTTAAATGCGAAATTCTTTCACAACAAAGTTTAAGAAAAACCAAAACTTAATTTAATTAATTAAGTATTAACTAAGGTCGGTCTAGTAAGGATTACATTTTGGTTTAGTTTATTTTAAAAATAAATTCTTACAGTTTTTGTTCAATAAATCTGTAAAATACTGTATTTCTTACGTCCTTATACTGTACTTCACAGTAATATCAACCCAAGACTTTGTTTTGGGGCACTTTGACTGCAAAATGGTTTGGATTTACTGCTGGAACTGTTTCAGTGTATATTGGAGTATTCTTGGCTTGGTGTAAGTCGCCATGCGGGCTCGTTTGATAAGACTATTGCTCGGCATTCTGACGTATCAACTGCGAAGACCGCAGTACTGAATTTTGTTGAGAGATAACGAAATATATGGCATATTATTCCTATATTATTATTTATTATAACCCATTAATTTATAATACATTTTGCAAAAGCACACAAATTTAAGTCTTCAAGCAGACCGTAGAAATTAAAAGAATATAAATCAGTCGTTTATTATTCCTAGAAAGCACTCTTACTCAGCAAAAATTCATTTAAGAACGTATTTTAGTTTCGAAATTGAAATGCTTTTTGTAGCAGTTGTGGTTGTAAACCCGGAATGTAGACGCTAGTTTCCCATTTCAGTCATGAGAGGACGGTCGTACGTGCTGCTACTGCTGGGCGTTTTGGTATTGCCTGGAGCCCTCTGCGATGGGGAGGATCGGGAGTATGAAAGAGATTTAATGATGAAAAAACCGGTAGGCAATGTTTGGAGCGAACCAAAAGAAGTAGCGATCGGCGAGTCGTTCTTCATATACTGCAATACCACAAACTTTGAAATCCAGCCTGGAGATCTCACACTAAAATTAGACTCTGGCGACGTTGCCCACGACATGGTGCCTGTGAATAATTCTACAGTCAGGTATAGAGAGGAATTTTTAAGGAACGATATGAATAAGTGTTACACTTGCTTTTTGAAGGAAGCAAAAATCGAACGCCATTGTATCACTACTACGTTCCTAAACGTATCGAACTTTGAGTGCATGTTATTGGTCTTCTCAATGTCAATGTCATGTAAATTTTATATAACTGAGTTCGACATATCGGCCGAATACACCATTACCGATAGCGGTCAACAACCAGTCAAGTGCTGGCCATCACTTCGGGACCATAAATGGATGATGAAGTGTGAGATTGCAATTGATTATAAAAAGGAGACGTACGCCTTTACCCTTTTAAAGAAATTGAAAGCAAGGAAACTAATTCAGCACTTGCAATTAAGGCGACATGAAATAATGGAACCGGAGTGGGAATCCATGGGAAACCGGACTTGTTTGCCAGCCCCTAAGGTCTTTAAGACTAAAGAGTGCCGAATACATCTGGTGCCACAGTCGGCACAGATCGGTCGGCACGATTTAACGTTGATCGACGAGCCCGCATTGTCAGGCCAACTTTTTTGTTTCGATTCGCCACGTCATGCCCACCAAAAATTCGAAGTGCATCTGCGGTGCAGCCTAAGCAATCCACCAGGGGCCCAGTCGACAGAGTTTGTCCAGTACGACTATTTAACTCCACCAGCTAAGCCCGATCGTCCGCCGGAGCTACTGCCCAACGGGTTCTTTCACGACTTTGAAAATAAGAAGCTTTTCGTCTATTGGCGGCGTCTGGATGAACTGGAATTAAACGGACCTAACTTCACATACTCAGGACAGGCCAACAGCGCGTATGATATTCCTAACACGAGTTCCTTATAATTACAATCCCATCAGAGTATATTTTTATTAACTTTCAGCCAGCAGGCACATCTCCTGGACAACAACTCCGCTTATTTTGTTAACTGGGATCCAAAGCTACCAAACACCGTTTTCGTTTGGAGCGAAAATTCAAAGGGACAATCGGAATACACCAGTACCCTCAATATTCCAGTTCTGACCAATTCCTCATCTCATCAACCGCAGGAACTCTCGTACCAAGTCGATACATTTACCATCTTCTGGCAGCCACCAAAAAATCGGGACAACCTCATTGGGTACACCGTTTTTTGGTGTCCCATGTCCAATAAAAATCTTGAGTTTTGCGACGACCGCGAGCCTATTAAGTTCCAGACACTGAGAGGATCAACAGTTAATCAATTTAATTTTAATAGGACGATGATAATGTACCGCAAAGCAGTGGCGGCTAACTACAATGATAATCGGAGTGGTGGCATGCAGTGGATCGGTGTCGCGCCGTTTAGAAACAAGGAGCCTGAAAAAAAGGTTACAAATTGGTTTTTTATTATTTCCATTACAATGTGTTTTTTCTTTGGAATCCTTTCTGCTTTAGCCATCTTAAAGAAACGGCGAAACATTTCGTGAGTCGCAGCAGAACAATTCGTACACTCGGGAAAATAAATAAAAACATTCAAATGTTTAAAATTACAAAATCGTGACTACATGACATTTGTTTCAAGGCCATAATAAACATTATAATCGAACTCGTATCCTTAAGATCATAGTTGGAGGGTTAAATAATTAATTATTTTAATTATACGGAACTTACATATGTCCTAAGCAATAAAGGAGGCAATAAAACACGGAAGCTTTCGGAGTATGTTTATTGTAAGAAAAGTAAGTTGGTACTGAAAAGACATAACTTAAACCCAGCTTGGGAGAACGGATTGGACGTTCTATGGACTGTAGAGAAAGAGCGTTCGGGATATTTTGAGGCTATAAGCGGGATCACACTGCTTCTTGAAAATAAGCACCCCTTAGCGCAAACAATTTGGTTGTGTTAAAATTCCACAAAACATTATTCTTAAGCTTTCCACCATATAGAAATGCTGGAATCAAGTAATGTCAAATTTCATAAACTAACCTTTTACATATTATATTTATAGTTTACACTTACAGTGTTACATTCAGCTTAAAATTTATTCTACATACCAATCGTCTATTATTTACTCGTCCGATCTGGCCAGTTCCAAATAATGAGAATAGTTAGAAAACTATCTGCAAATTTTCAAAAAGATCCAAAACAGAGACTAAAAAACATTAAACGTCTTTTTTCAGATTTTAATTTTTACATTTTTAGAAAAAAAAAATATTTAACATATCGGAGTGAATCGAAAATTATTAAGATTAACATGAAATTATCTTCTATTTGAACCTAAATGATGTAAATAAAACTGAAAATTGCTATTTTTTAAGAGGGTGTGACGACAAATCAAATTTCCTGAAAATGGAATTTTTCTTCAAAACTGTATTAAATTTTGTTGTGATAATTTCTGTTGGGTTTTTAGGTTCAAATAGAAGAGAAACGTATAAGAAACACAACAAATTTCCATAGCCGGGAAACTAAAAGCTCGAGGCACTGCGCCAAATATTCTCTAGGTCCGACATTTTCAAACTTATTTTATATAACACTTATTGTTATTATCTCCGATTCTCTTTTTAACTATCTCCAAAAATTTACGATGATTGCTTGACTAAGTTGCCTAAGTTTTGACCGTTTACATATATGTACTATAACCCCCTTAAAGTAGTTTTCGTTGTATGTTCTGAACTTATCTTTGCCATTTTTTATCCGTTCAACCTCGTTATGATTTTTCAAAAAAAATTTTACTTATAATTCAAAAGTCTTTCAGCTTGCAATTGAATCACTAAGGACAAATTATAAAAACCTACCCTACCTAACTACCTAATAGAGACAGAAAAAAATTACATGGGCAATTTTCTGATATCGACCGCACTGATTTCGCGAAATGAGATGAAAAATTTTAAAGCGGTCAATTTTAATGTATTATGCATAGATTGATCTTAGTAATGTTTAACTTAAAAATATTAAGACTTTTTTTAAATTGAATTTTAATCCCTGTCGCATTTTTTCCACCGTACTTTTTATGTAGTTTTTATACTTTTTAAGTAAACTGGAAATAAAAATATTTATTTACAGGGTGACAATAAATAACCCGGACAAATTTTGAAGCAATCGATTATAAATGTGTTATGATGCAGCCCTTAAATAAATGCATTTATAGATAGCTTGTACTTTTCTGAAACAAATATATTTACATATTTGTGATTTCCATCAAGTGGATATTTGTTTCGGGATGTTTAACAATCGTTGTGCAATTTTAAAATGTTTCAATAAGGAAATCGCCAATGCGACATTGTTCGTTTGCTTGGCATACCAAAACAAACGGTCTCTGACGCTATCCGGCGGTTTAATGAGCTTGGTCATGAAGGTGACCGTCCCGGACGAGGCAGACCATGCACCGCTAAAACTTCCAGAATTCGCCAGATCGTGAAAAAGCGGATCACTCGGAATTGCAGAGTCTCGATCAGAAAAATAGCCCGTGAAATCGGAATGAATCGAGAAAGTGTATGGTTGATTGCAAAAAATGAACTTAATCTCAAGCCCTACAAGCTCCAAAAAGTGCACCTTCTTATGGATGACAATAAGCGCGTGAGACTTCAAAGATGCCGTCAGCTAAAGCGTCGAGCCGCAGGTCAAAAATGGGAGCGTATTCTCTTCACGGACGAGAAGATATTCACCATCCAACAGGCGCACAATCACCAAAATGACAGAACCTGGTCGGCTGAAGCTCCAGGTATCTCTGCAATAATCGAGCGCCGTCAATGTGAGCAGTCTTTAATGGTTTGGGGAGGAATATGCGCCACTTGCAAAACTCCCCTTGTTTTCATCGATCAAGGGGTCAAAATCAATCAGGAAGTGTACCGCCGGGACATTTTGGAAACTGTTGTGCTTCCTTGGGCCCAGCAGCACTTCGCTGATACGGAGTGGACGTTTCAACATGATTCAGCGCCAGCCCATAGAGCCAAATTGACTCAGGACTGGTGCAAAGCCAATTTTCCGGACTTTATCATATCCAGTGAATGGCAACCTTACTCGCCGGATCTTAATCCAATGAACTACAGTGTGTGGTCTATTTTGAAGTCCAGGGCATGTGCTAAATGCCACATAAGTTTGGTGGCGCTGAAGCAATCATTGCTCCAAGAATGGGATCGATTATCGGAAGAAGACCTGCGGCCCATTGCGCTAAATTTCCAGAAACGTTTAGGGCTCTGCATCGCAGCCCAATGATGCCACTTCGAAACCGGTTAAATATATGTTAACACAATACCTATTTAATAGTTGTGTATCTGAATTTCTTCTCAAATACAGTTCCTTAAAAAGTTATGATCAAAATTGTTTGTCCGGGTTATTTATTGTCACCCTGTATTTTTCAAGTGATGATAGAAAGCAAAACTAAAAACATAATGCCCCTGACTTAAAATATATTATTAAAACAAAACAGGCCCTTGTTTTTCTACCAAAATAATGAAAAATCAAATATTCCGAAATTTACTTTAGAATATGCTTAATTCTTTTAAATTTGGTCAATAGGAGCATATTTTAATGGAACTATGTTAAAGAAAATCATTTTAGAGCACTTTGAATTATTTGGTGGCGGTTGCTGTTTCTAGAAAGTGACGCATATATGTATATGTTAAAACGCCAAACTTTTGCTAGCTATAATAGGCTCCTACAGATAAATAAAATTGATTGATCGCTCCTATGCCAGCTACATAAACATATGATATAATACTTTAATCTTGATAAAATCTCAAGCATTATTTTTATAGTACATTTTACATTTTGCATTACATTTGCATTCTTTACAGTTTTACAATTTTCCTTTATATTTTATTTTAGAAATTCTATAATCGTCAAAATGGACTGAGTAGATAAAAATATTTGTAAAACCAAAAACAAAATACAATTTTGTTTTATTAATTTCCTGATCATTATGATCATATTATGATATAGATGTTCGATTTTTATAAAATTAATAATTGTTAAATGACTATACATTTAACAAAAAAGTTCATACGCTGGACTTCTGCAACATATATGTTACATTTGTGCTGACAGATCCAATGGGTATCGCTCAACAAGTTCCTAGCAATATTTGTCATTGTTTAGATGTGTCGCCTGATCGTAGCAACATTTGGTCTTCCATCTGTCTTTAAAAATTGAACTCTATCCATTCTTAATGAACCAATGCAAACTTCAAGGGCATCTCAAAGAAAAAATGCTCAAAATTATATCAAAATCTTCTAAACCGGAACGACTAAGAAGATAATAGAAATGTTAAAAAAGTCTTAAAAGTCTCAATTCTGTCATCTGATCCAACAGTAAAATACAAAGAAGTAGGTTTCACCCTCCCCCAAATAAATGTTGGCAACACGAATGATTAATCCAGACTGTTTAATAAGAGAGATCGTACTATTGACGTTGTTTTTTTTTAATACTCGATAGGTAGTTAGCTGTTCAGGGTCTTTATCGAACAATTTCACCACACCTAGTCGATACGCCGCTGGAAGCAGAAAATTATTTTCAGTAATCAAAGTTATTCCGGAGTGGTAACGTGTATTCGAAAAAGCACTGACTCAAATTAGTCAATAAACCCCACTTCAATTGATAAGATTTCAGTTGAATTGTTACAAATAAAAACATAAATGCGTATAAAATGTTAACAGCCAATCACTCAGTATGGCAATAAATTGGTTCAGATTGATCTGTCTACTTGGTGTCTTCTATAGTACTATCCACCATAACGACGCGAAAACGGTACTTATTCAAGAGCTAACTAAATGGACGTTGAGAAGTGAAAACTCCTGTAAGTGTCCCTAAAAAAATGTACATAAATAGGAATTTTCAATTTGATTTTGTTGATTCATCTTTGCCTCCAGAGCAGCGTCATCAGAAATATATATACAGAGTGAGTCGAGATAAGATAAGGGAATCTTTGTCTAATTCGACTTTGTGATAACGCTTGTATTTGGTCTAATTAATTGCCTATATATGTGTACTTCTGGCTTTAAACGATCTGATTTGAAACCTATTTATGTGCCTATTACTTTATCTTCCCGACTAACATCAGCACTGGAAACAAGCGTACCCCGAATGCCATCTGGAGTATATACGGCGCTTAAGGATTTCTATGGAGACTTGCTAGATCCCGGAAATGATGTAGCTCTTCGCTGGATAGCCAACCAGTCGTGGATATTCAGCACAAAATTTGACAGTGGGTATAAACAACACCGAACCACTTTACGTGATATTACTGACCCCAAAGTGCAGGTGCCGAAATGGGTCACGAAATGGTGAACCTGACACTCCACGGAATCGACACTGTATCCCAAGTGCGCGTCAACGGGCAACTACTTGGCGAGACTGACAACATGTTCGTCCGCTACTCGTTTGCCATCGGCCACCTGCTCTTACCTAGTCCAAATCAAAACATTTTGGAGGTTGAGATTTTATCGCCCATACAGGAGGCAAGTCGGCGCTTCCGAGAGCTAGAAAAAGAGGGAGTTTTTACGGGACCACCCAGCTGCCCAAGGGCACGTGGAGACGTCGAGTGCCATCGGAATTATCTACGCAAAATGCAAATGAGCTTTGGCGGCGAGTGGAACCCTGTAGCGCTCTCCTCGGGTATATGGAAGCCTGTTGCAGTCGAGTACTATACAGTGGCTGTGCTACGCGACGTCGATGTGGCCATCAAGAGGAACAAAACTTACTGGACGTTGGATTGCCGCGCCTTTCTTGATACTACTGCATCAAAGGATTTCTATGTGGACCTTAAGGCTTATGCCAGGTAAACTTAAATGGTTCACTTTTTTTATGAACAAAGTATTTTTTTATTTATTTTAGTGATCTGTTAGATAAACCATTTGTTTTGGAAAACCAACTTGTTTCGTTTACGTCTCCCGTGCTAGAGTTCCAAATATCTATACCAGAAGTACAAATATTCACCTCTTGTCGAAAATTCGGCTAATACGCACTTTCCCTAGGACCGAGTTACTATGTGGTGGCCCAACGGCTACGGCAAGCAGATGCTCTACCCAATACTTTTTAAAGTGAAATGCTACACCAGCGACGCTGTCCCCAACCTGAGCTCACGAACAGAGTCGCAGAAGATATTGAAGGTTGGGTTTCGCACCTTAGAGCTGGTAGAGAACACAGATCGTAAGTGACTAAATATGTTTTAATTAAAAGTCTTTAATGACTATAAGGCTCAAAGATGGCATTGGTATACTTGACACAATTGCACTCGCGTATTTTATTTTATTTATTTTTATATTTTTCTTTACTACACGTTCAATTAGAAAGTGGCAGGACATTCTTTTTCCGGGTGAACGGTCACCCGATCTTCACGAAAGGTGCGAATTACATACCTGCTCATACACTTCCGGAGTTGTCAGCAGAGACGGAGTCAGGTAACGGAGCATGTGAATAACAAGACAATTTGATAAATACTCCTCTGTTCTAGTCGAATATTTGCTGAAAGCTGCACACCAGGCCAACATGAACATGATTCGCGTTTGGGGAGGAGGTCTCTACGAGTCAGAGAATTTCTACAACTTGGCTGATTTCTACGGGCTGCTAGTGTGGCAAGACATGGCGTTTTCCCGAGCAGCATACCCCTTAGAAAAGGACTTCGTGGCCTCCGTCTGTCTGGAGACTGCGCAAAACGCTCAGCGTCTGTCATATCATCCAAGCCTCGCACTAATCGCGGCCAATAACGAGATTGAGCTTTTCCTTGTAACGAACAAATCAGACTTTGGGGAAGGCGCCAACCGCATTGAGAACGATTATAATGCGCTATTTGACACCATAATGGGGGAACTGAGCATCATATCTCGTAATGATTTCAGTCCTCGTCCTGGTCCAATGATTTCCACACCCTCGCTGGGGGTCGCACCATACGCTGATGATATGCCTACGAATCCTCAAGATCCAAACTATGGTGATGGTAAGTCTCATAGTGCGGTGCACTGCAAATTGTTCTAATTAACTAAGGTACATATAGGTATGTATATAGGGGAACAATGTCCATATAAATTAGCATTCTACAAGTATTTTAATATGACAGAAGGAAGCAATGCAAACCATATTTATTCTGAATAGGCAGACAAAAATAATCTCTGCGATGAGGATCATTGAAATTTTTGAATTGAATTATTCCTCTGCCAAGATTCCAGTTAAGTGAATACTGTGTAAACAGTTTTAGAAGTTAGCTTCCATTTTGGTTTTAAGTCACTTTATCGGGCCAGCAATCAGACGGTAATGTCTTTTAAGTTGGCTTGAATATTAACCAAACTCAATTATTACATTGCAGTGCATTTATGGGTAGACGACAAGGATGGTTTCAGCCCTGAGACTTATCCGCACGCTCGATTTGTTTCTGAATTTGGTTACGCAAGCCTTCCAATGCTCTCAACATGGCAGCGTGCGCTGGGAGGTGGTTCAAACGTCAGTAACGAGGAGATTGCTTCCCTCATCCGAAGCCGGCAGCATGACATAAAGGGATTCATTCCGATGCTTCAGCAAATCTCGTATCAACTGCCGTTCACTCCTCAGAACTGGGACGAGAACATTGAAAAGTTCATATATTTCAGCCAGGTGGCACAAGCCATGGCGACCAAGACAGCGATCGAACTGTTTCGCAGCCTACGCACTGGAAACCAGACAATGGGCGCCCTAATCTGGCAGCTTAACGACGTTTGGGTGGCTCCGACATGGTCGTGCATCGACTTTTACGGAAACTTTAAACTGATTTACTACTGGGCCAAGGAGTTTCTGGCCTCAAAATGCGTTATTGCCTTGTATGACGCTAGCTCAAATAACCTTAATATCACGCTAACCAGGGAGGATTATGCGGACCATTTGGACTCCCAGTTTTACAATGTACTGATAAACACCTACCTATGGACTGACCTGATTGCTAAGAAAACAATTGCCCGTGCTTTTGGTTTGGTAAGGACGGGAAAGCCCTTAAGCCTACGACTTTATTGACAGTATTTTAAATAATACCCAGGGATCAAATCAGCTTGAAGTGCGCCCCATACCTCTTGAACTGTTGCTGTACGAAAACCACTCAAAAGAGGAAATATTCTTAGAAATAGTTTTGGAGGATAAAGATAAGGAGACCGTGGCTAGAAACTATTACTATCCGGTGCCTATGAAAAATATCAGTGGAATAAAAGACCCGGAACTTACAGTAAGTATTCCACATTTTCTTCAGTATTGTCATCAAATACCTATTCAATACTTTTTCGAACAGGTGCAAGTCGCAGGTCAAGATTGCAACAACGCACAATCTCCGTATACCAACAGTTTCAGTTTGCTAGTCACTGTACGGTTTCCGGCTTTACTTGTATATCTTGAATTAGTACATCCGGATTACATCACAAAACGCCATACGTTTTCCATAAATGGCTTTACTCAGACGGAACCAAGAAAAACGGTCTACTTGCTGTTTGAAGATGACTCGGAATGCCTTACGCTAACTAGTGATGACATAAAGGTTCAAACTATCAACCAATATTTATTACAAAATAATTAATATTGTATTCAAATTTCAAAGTATTATATAATTTGAATGGCTCAAACAGCATTCTTATCCGAAGTTGCTTGCAGAATCACTGTCAACGATGTATCGATGTTTCAGATTCCTAGAACTACTATTATTATATTAAAAGGTTAAAACTAAAAAATTGTTGTTTCTCCACTTGATGAGAAATTAGCTAGTTAACCGGGAAATCAAATAAAAAAAAAACATTTTTGAACGATTTTATTACCTGGGAAGCTTTTTTAAACCTCTAACTACCGTCCAAGCAGAAGCATAACAAAAATTAAGCTTTCTTCGAAGTAAAAAAAAAACAAGAAAGGAAGCTAACTTCGGCACGCCGAATTTTGTATACCCTTGCAGATTGGTTTCGATGTTTATATTATAGATTTAAATGCTGAAAACACTCACAAAACAGAGTTTCATTACATTTTACCTATACTTATTATGTTTACAGTTTGACAGTTACAGTTTTACATTCCCAGTTTTACATTTTCTCTACACCTACCGATCGGTTTATATGGCAGCTATATAGTAGAGCTGGGAAAAAATCGATGTCAACATCGATTAAATCGATTCTTTCTTTTCGGTCGATGCATCGATTCGGTTTAGAAAGAATCGATTAATCGACAAGGTCCATGCTTTGCTCTTCTGTGCGTTTCAGCTAGCTCAACAGAAGCAGAGCGAGTATTTAGTAAGGCTGGATGTATTATAACCGATAAACGTGCGGCTTTAAAACCCAAAACTTTAAATAAGCTCGTTTTTGCCAACAAAAACCACTGGCTAGTCGAATTTTGATATTTTTATAATTTGAAAATATTTTTGGTTTTTTGTGATCTCATTTAATTTAATTTAATTTTTCTGGAAATATCCAGTAAATAATTGATTTTGATTTTTTGTTTTTATATTTATTTTGCTTCTTATTTTATGAACCTTTATTTTAAATATTTTTGTTTAAAATAAGTTACTATATTTAAAATAAAGGCTTTGAATAATTTTATTTAAAATAAAGAAACAAAATATTTTTATTAAAACAAAAAATCAATTAATCACTGGTTATGGCCAGAAAAATTAATTTGATTTATTATGAATACATTTTGGGTTTATTGTTTAAGAATGATTATGTAAATAAATTTAAGTTCTGGTTTTTTCTGAATTTATTTGAAGTAAAAAATAAAAAGTTTTGTTTTCGATTTAATCGATTTAATCGATTTTATTTTCTAAAAAATCGAAAAAAATCGATTCGCTGAGAATCGATTTTTTCCCAGCTCTACTATATAGTTGTCCGATTTTTATAAAATTTATACCATAATTCTAGAATAATAAAAAAAGCGTATATCTCAGAGTAGATAAACATACGTTGAAAAAAAACGAAACTATAATTTTTTTTCCTATTTATTTCTCGACCGTTCCTATGGCAGCTATATCATATAGTCGTCCGATTTTCATAAAATTTTTACCAAAATTCTGAAATAATATAAAATGGCCATATCTAAAAAATGGTGCAAAAATGTTGAACAACAGCAAAGTTATAATTTTTTTCTACAAATATATCGAACATTTGTATGGCAGCTATATGATATAGACGCCCGATCCGGCCCGTTCCGACATATATAGCAGTGAGAGCATATAGAAGACTATATGCAAAGTTTCATTCAGATAGCTTTAAAACTGAGGGACTAGTTTGCGTAGAAACAGACAGACAGACAGACAGACAGACAGACAGACGGACAGACGGACAGACGGACAGACGGACAGACAGACAGACGGACATGGCTAGATCGACTCGGCTGTTGATGCTGATCAAGAATATATATACTTTATAGGGTCGGAAACGTCTCATTCACTGCGTTGCAAACTTCTGACTGAAATTATAATACCCTACAAGGGTATAAAAATTTACAGGAGAATTAAAATACAAGAAAGGAAGCTAACTTCAGCACGCCGAAGTTTGTATACCCTTGCAGCTTGCAATTTGATCATTAAGAATCAATCCATTCTGGCCAAACTAATAAAAAATAGTATATATAAAAGTTGTATATTTATACATAGCATATAATATTAATAATAATAATAATAATTTAGTGGCTGATCAAGAATATATATACATACTTCATAGGGTCAGAAATGTCTCCTTCAGTGCGTTGCAAACTTCAGACAAAAATTGGAATGCCCTGCAAGGGTAAAATAAAACAATTTGAAAATAGTAAAAAAACGATAACTCAGAAATATAACAAAATGCTCACAGTACTTTCGTTTTAACTTTTTTAATTTTGTCAGTTTTTCTCTTATTTATATCCGCATCGTTACAATAGCAGATATTTATGTGACTCGTATAACCTTCCAATCTGGCCCGTTCTAATTTTTTATATATTAAGTGCAATAGAAACAAGCCAATCTAAAAACTTTTACTCATATAGCTCTAAAACTGAGATACTAGTTTGTGTTAAAAAAATAAAAGACTATTTTTTTTTTACATATTTAACATAAGTATAATTTTTATAACCTTACTGGGTAATATTATAGTCAGAGGTGTGGAAATTATGAAAGGAGTCTTTTCCGACCCTATAAAGTATACACTGATACAAAAAATCTCGAAAGGATATTTTCAGGTTTTATTCAAGAACGCCATATTCTTCAGAAAAGAGCTTAAATTAATACCAAATATTCTGAAAAGAATACCAGTAATCATAAAGCAATACCAAAAACTATTAATATCAAGAATTAAAAACCTTATTTTAAGATTTTTGTTATTTTTAATGTTACAAAAAAGTGTGGATACTATGTTGTCTCATTTTTTCTTACACGAATAAGAAAATCATATTGCCGACTCGCTCTTACGACCATTGTTTAAAATCTATTTTACTCTCAGAGAGGGAGATACATTTTTTTTTTTTTTTTTTGCTCTTTCCCGACATTAGAGTTTGATTTGCCTCAGTGCACTGAATAATATTACAAATATTCTTCAATAATGCTGATATGACACAGCCGCATTAATTAGAGACTTCATTAAAGATTTGACAGCGCTATAGCGTTTTACACAAGTGCGAGCAAGACGACTATATGGCGCTCTAATGCATTAGAATAATGCATTAGCTACTTCATTGGAGCGCTAATCGATAGATCTACATATTATATACTAGATACTCGATAACAAAATACGGGTTTAATGAAGAAAATTGTAATTGAAAAATGTATTAGCCAGCTCATTGACAGTATGGTCTCACAATGAGATATTTATTTTTATATAATTTCGCTGGTTTTTTTAACTGAAAAAATATTAGAAAATTAGGAAAAATAATATGTTTTGCGGTGGCAAGGTTCTTGCGCTGTAAATTTAATTTAAATTTTTTTTTGGTAATAATTAAAAAAATTTTAAGCATCATAGGTTAAAAACATAAATTTAAAGGATTCTGCATTTATTTATGCAAGAATACTTCGACGAGGAATTCAGAAATTCATAGTAATACGCCGCGAATGGCGGCCGTTTTTTTGTTTACCTTTTACGGACGATGTGACCGTGGTCGTATTACCAAAATAATCCAAGCAAAATTCAAGCCAAATTACACAAAATTACACATATAGTGGTCTCTTTCAAGGTTCTAATGAAGTAGCTAATTAATGAAAACTGCATTAGTGTATCATATGGGCATAAGGAACAAAAATTTTAAAAGAAGACCAAAATATGCTTGAGCTACTTTCGTAATACTGGCATGACACTGCCGCATTAATTAGAGACTTCATTAAAGATTTGACAGCGCTATAGAGTTTTACACAAGTGCGAGCAAGACGACTATATGGCGCTCTAATGCATTAGAATAATGCATTAGCTACTTCATTGGCGCGATAATCGATAGATCTACATATTATATACTAGATACTCGATAACAAAATACGGGTTTAATGAAGAAAATTGTAATTGAAAAATGTATTAGCCAGTTCATTGACAGTATGGTCTCACAATGAGAATTTTATTTTTATATCATTTCGCTTGTTTTTTGAACTGAAAATATATTAGAAAATTGGCAAAAATAATATGTTTTGCGGTAGCAAGGTTCTTGCGCTGTAAAATTAATTAAAATTATTTTTTTTGTAATAATTTTAAAAAATTTAAGCATTATAGGTTAAAAACACAAATTTAAAGGATTCTGCAATTATTTATGCAAGAATACTTCGACGAGGAATTCAGAAATTCATAATAATACGTCGCGAATGGCGGCCGTTTTTTTTGTTTACCTTTTACCGTCGGTGTGACCGTAGTCGTATTACCAAAATAATCCAAGCAAAATCCAACCAAAATCCAACCAAAATGACAATATAGTTGACTCTTTCAAGGTTCTAATGAAGTAGCTAATTAATGAAAACTGCATTACAGTATCATACGGGCATAACCAAATGGTCACGATTTTATGACAAAAATTCTTGTTTTTTATATCAGTTTATATATTCTTGATCAGTATCAACAGACAAGTCGATCTAGCCTAAAAAAAACTTTGCTGGTTTTCAATACATCTACTTTGTGTAACGAGCAGTTCGGCTACGGAACAAGCTTATAGCTTTTAGATATGGCTGACGCCGAAGTTTGTATACCCTTGCAGTTTGCAATTGGAAAATTAAGAATCGATCTATTTTCATGTCAAATAAAAAGGAAAACTAACTGGAGATTTATAAAGTAAATTTATTTATACATAATTTGGATTTGATTCAATTTCAAAAAAAGTTTTTTTTAATCGTACAAAAAACTATATGTTATGTTTAAAATATCTTTTATAATATAAATTATAAATAAGCATATATGCTAAACAAAATCAAAGTAATAATAGCTTTCATGCATTAACCTTTAAAAAATATACTAATGTATAGTATTAAGTCTCAGTTTTAAATTCACAGCTTTACACTATTATTTACATATATTGTGGCTATATGATGTAGTCGTCCGATTTTCATAAAATTAAAAACAAAATTCTAAAAAAATAAAAAATCGCAAGGTACAGTGTTAAAAAAAAACAGAATTTTGGTCATAAATCATGATCATTCGGTTACGAAAGTAGCGCAAGCATATTAAGATCTTCTTTGGAGGTTTTTTGTTTTTATTGAAGAATTTCTTAATTCTTAATTCTTAATACCAAACATTATTATATTAAAAATTGTTGTGAAAGAATTTTTTTAAATCTGTAAATAAGATTTAATTATTTAATTTAATTATTATTATATAAAGCTCCTTCCAATTCTTTATCCCCTGTTGGGATTCGAACCATCCATGTCTCAAAATTCACAGACCGTCCGCTTACCAACTGGTCCACTGAGGCAAATCAAACTCTAACGTCGGGGACGCCATAGAAACGATCGGGAAATTAAAAGAAAACAAGAAAGGAAGCTATACCGTTGCAGATAGCTATCGGATCATTAAGAATCGAGCCTTTCTTGTTAAATAATTAAAAAACGAATAAAAGAAAATATATACAAGACTGTAGTTCATAATTTTATTAAAGCTCACGTACTACGAATTGCAATTAGAAATATATTGTTAGTTCTAATATGTTTGTAAAAATATGTGAACACATTCGACTTAGTTATTAAAAATGTATTTCCGACTCTTTAGGTATTGCGAAGTCGAGGCAATCTCTAGGGTTAAAAACAGCTGATGCACTGAGCGTAGCGTGACACTGAAATGAAATTTATTATCGGGTTTCATTCCAGCTCTCACTCTTCTCTGCCTCTCTCACATTCTCCCACTCTCACTTGGCGTGGGACGCCACGAACAATAATTCCCCAACAGAGATCGTCGCGTCGCATTTGCTATTTGCCGCTGTTTGTTTAGTCGTTGGAGGAACTCCTCGCCTAGTGTGACGCTCTGGTGTCCGATTATACATTTAGGCTGTTGAGTGGGGCCCACCGTCAACTTTAAAATAGCTTCAGTAAATTTGATTGACCACAAATATCCATATGACGGCTGGGGACAACTGCAGAGTGTTCGGAGGAGGCGCCTACTGCCCTCTTCTGGTTGGACTTCTGTGGGGATCCCTTGCTTGCAGCGTCCTAGGGGACGCGGTGGAAGTTATAGAGCTGGGAAACAATTGGATGATAACTAATCAAAACGGCTGTGAGTAATAGAATAACTAAAATCACTCTTAGCGGAACGCTTTTGGTCAGCATAATTGCCCGAAAATTGGTTGTCTAATCGTTCAACTGAGCGCACTAATACAGCCCGCAAGCCATAAATTAAATTATATGCGATTAGTAAAAAATACTATCAGCATTTTCAGCACTTTTAACTTTCGGTTTGTTTACTTAATATAAGGGGCTATCGGGGCGGATTTTATTGCGGACGAAGAGGACTGTTTCAATTATTATCTTTCTTCACAGCCCTGAGTAGAGACGACCAAACCCTTCCCTCCGGTATATATAGCGCCTTCGGACCCCAAGTTTTACACTCCTATAATGACATTGACCTGCGTTGGCTGGCCTACGACAATTGGACCTACTCGAATCGTTTTCAATGTAAGTTCGTTCCAATTTATTCTATTGAATTTACTTAGAAAATAAATCCAATTTTCAAGAACAATTATCAATCTTAAGATTAATGCATATTAGAATGAGTTTTAAGAAATACAAAAACTAAAAGCTATTAATTTCGATTTCAAGAACATATGTATGAATAAATATTTATAACCTTAAACCCAGCCTTATATAGTATACATTATATTTTTGATCTAGCCATTCCCATATGTAAGTCGAATAATGTTTCAATTTTAATTTAAAAAACCAATATTTTTACATACTAATAAATGTTATATACATATAATAAACTGATAGTTTTTTCTTTTGATCCAATATTCAAACCAAATAAACATAGGTAGTTTACCATTTTCGGGTGATTTTTCTTTAAAATATATTCGATTAAAAGCTGCCTTAAAATCTTAATCTTAAAAGTTAATATATTCCCTTAGAATGTCCAGTTCCAATTTCTGAGTTTTATATAGTACTACATGTAACCATTCGATCCATTCTGGTCAAATTAAAAGAAACAAAAAATAAAAGGGAATATATAAAATTTGTATATTTATGCATAGCGTTTAATAATTTGGGTTTTACAAAATTAAAGAAAGAAAGTTTAATCATTTAATAAAAAACAATATTTTAGATTATTAAAAAAATGACCATATCTTAAAAATTTTGAAAATATGTTAAACAAGAAAGGAAGCTAACTTCGGCACGCCGAAGTTTGTATACCCTTGCAGATATTATTTCATTACATTTTACCTATACTTATTACGTTTACAGTTTGACAGTTACAGTTTTACATTCACACATTTACATTTTCTCTACATCTACCGATCGCTCCTATGGCAGCTATATGATATAGTTGTCCGATTTTCATGAAATTTATACCAAAATTCTAGAATAATAAAATAAGCTTATATCTCAGAGTAGATGAAAATACGTTGAAAAACAACGATGTTATACTTTGTTTTCTATTAATTTCCCGATCGTTTCTATGGCAGCTATACGATATAGTCGTCCGATTTTCATAAAATTTTTACCAAAACTCAAAAATAATATAAAATGGCCATATTTAAAAAATGGTGCAAAAATTTAAAAAAACAGCAGAGTTATAATTTTTTTTCTAAAAATTTTTTGAACATTTGTATGGCAGCTATATGATATAGTCGTCCGATCCGGCCCGTTCCGACATATATAGCAGTGAGAGTATATAGAAGACTATATGCAAAGTTTCATTCAGATAGCTTTAAAACTGAGGGACTAGTTTGCGTAGAAACGGACAGACGGACGGACAGACGGACGGACAGACGGACAGACGGACATGGCTATATCGACTCGGCTGTTGATGCTGATCAAGAATATATATATTTTATAGGGTCGGAAACGTCTCCTTCACTGCGTTGCAAACTTCTGACTGAAATTATAATACCCTGCAAGGGTATAAAAATAGCCAAGATATAATTTTTTTTTTAATTTGTCGATCATTTGTATGGCAGCTATATGATATAGTACGATCCAGCCCTTTCTGACATACATACATATATAGCAATGAGAGTATTCAGAAGACTATATGGAAAGTTTTCTTCAGATAGCTTTAAAACTAAGGGACTAGTTTGCGTAGACACGGACTGACGAACATATCTAGATCGACTCGGCTTTTGATGCTGATCAGGAATATATATACTTTGTAGGGTCGGAAATCTTTCCTTCACTGGGTTGCAAACTTCTGACTGAAATTATAACACCCTTCAAGAGTATAAAATACCTTTTATTATGTCCATTAGTGTGTAGGTCGGTTTTTAGATCTCAAAAAAAAATATTCAGCAAAGTAATTTTAAGCTTTGCATATTTTTTTAAAAACTGCTTCTATATCTTGATATTAACCCTTCGAGACACTATAGGTCCTTGCTAACCTTTTGGTATATAACACATGATCCATCGAAAATCGATTTCTCGAGATTTTACCCACAAAAACTTTTTTTTATCATATATGTACATAAGCTCAAATAGTAAAAAAAAAGAAAGTTAGGTAAAATAAGTACATAAAAAATATAATGGAATCATGCTGTCAATGGTCGAATTTTATTTGTTCAATTTTAAATTTAATAAAAATAAAAGAGATACTCATATTAAAAGCACAAAAACAATATAAAAGAGACAAATAAATAAAACAATAAAGGAAGCTCTCTTCGGTATATGTATATGCATATATGTATATATAAATAATTAAAAACAAATTAATATAAACTATGAAAAATATTTACAGTTACAGTTCGCTGTTTTGTCTTCTTTATAATATAGAAATTTTTTATTATTTTAGAATTTTGGTTTGGTTTTTTTTAATGAAAATTGGACAACTATATCATGAAGCTGCCATAGATTAAAAAAAAAATTTTATTTTAATTAGCCACCAAATGTAGCAATTCTGGCTTGAGATCAGTTTTTTCACATGTACGGAAAAACGGACATGACTAAATTGACTAGCTAGGTGATGCTGATCAAGCATATATATATATACCGACCAATAAGGAATACCGGGTATAAAAACACGTTTTCGATGACTAAAAAAACGAGAGGAATTATTTTTTTAAGTAAATTAAAATTATATTTCTTCCGAAATACAAAACTACTTCTTTAAGAAGTAATATATATGTAAGTGATAATTGCACCTTCAACTCCAAAAACTTCTAAACAAAACAAAGCACGGTCATATTAGAATGGTATTAGGCGCCTAGCTAAAAAATGGCAAGCCTTTAAGTTAAGTAAGTTAAGTAGCATTGTTGTAGCAGCATGCCCAATTAGAAACTTATTAACAAATAAGATGTATTTTATGTTTCGTAAGCTAAACCAAGATACGAATGTCTAGTGTACTGACAGACGGTCAATGCAAAAGCACATCCTCTTAATATTATTTAATTTTACTCTGTACTTGTCCCGCAAAGTCGACGTCCATCACTACAAACGAGGACATATAAATCTAACGTTTCATGGCATTGACACGGTGTCGGAGATACGTCTGAATCATCAGCTCCTGGGCCGCACGGATAACATGTTCGTGCGCTACTCATATGACGTCAGCACTCTCCTACAGACAGAAAACTTGCTGGAGGTGGTGATTCTCTCGCCTGTATTGGCGGCCCTCTCAAGGGCCCAAGCTCTGGACAAGGATGGCAAGAGTGTGCCGCCGGAATGCCCTAACAAGCGCTATCACGGTGAGTGCCATATGAATATGTTGCGGAAGATGCAGGCGAGCTTCTCCTGGGACTGGGGTCCCGCAGTCCCCTCTGCTGGGATCTGGAAGAACGTAGAGCTTGAGATCTACGAGGTGGCCGTTATCCGCGACGTTGACGTGGACGTCAGGCGCAACGACTCGCACTGGAACATGCACATTCGCTGCTATCTAGACGCGGTGGGCAAGGAGAACTTCTACGGAAGACTTATTCTATATGCAGTGTAAGTGACCTTGATCTCGTTGGAGAAACTAGCTTACTGAGGGCCATTACGAGTTGCAGCGAGCTATTGGAGCGTCCGGTGGTGGTGGAGACTTATGTATCGAAATCGATTAGCTTCTTGGCGCCGGTAATTGAGTTCGATCAAGCTGTGCCCATTGTGAGTACCGGCTACTAATTGAGCGCTGATGGGTGTACGTGTGTTTTAAGTGCTACTTATGCTTCGCAGGAGAAAGTCGTGACCTGGTGGCCCAATGGCTACGGCGAGCAGAAACTTTATCCGCTTCATTTCACACTCAAGACCTGGATAGGCGCTGATGGACCCGAGATCCGCTCGAAGACCAAGTCTCACAAGTCTGTCGGCGTTGGTTTCCGCACTCTAGAATTGGTTGAGGTACCTGCCCCAGACGGTTTGGGAAATACCTTCCTTTTCCGTGTCAACGGCATCGAAATTTTTATGAAGGGAAGCAATTATATACCATCCGACATTCTGCCAGAATTACAGGGAAATGAACAAAGTAAGTCCCAAGTGATCATATATATGTTATTTAGTAATATTACCACAGATACATACATTGTCGATTTTTACAAATCAATTTAATAAAAGGCGTAAAAAGAATCTTTCACATCAATATCGGTTAAGTGTAAATATACATATCATGTACACGGTGGTCTTCTTTGTGGAATTCATTAGAATGAAAACCAAAACTGTTTACAAATTTGTATTAGGTGCTCCAAGTTATCTCAATTTATATTTTTTCCAAAGTTATACATATTTGAATTGATCACTCTTGCTTCAGTCTATTCCAGCAACATTTCTTTCTTTTGCGTTTTTCTCCTAGTTTTTTTTTTTTTGTATCGGTACGTAACAGAACACTTACTTGTTGACTTGAATTTCGCTGTAAAGTAGAAACTTGGGCTAAAAAGCTCCATATTTTGCTGAAATCAAATTTACAATAATATTAACAATCCGAAACCACTGAACCATATTTCATAAATTGACGGAGCACTACCAAGCTTACTTTAAGCAACTACTGAAAAATTTGAACTTGATTTCGCGTATTTATCATTATTATCTTGAGCAATTTATCACTAACTAACCCGAACTTATAAATGTACATTTTCGTTGTTATAAAGTTGGTCATTTACTAAGGTCGGCCAAGGAAGCCAACATGAACATGCTGAGAGTGTGGGGAGGAGGGGTCTACGAGTCGGACTACTTTTACCAGCTCGCCGACAGCCTCGGCATCCTTATCTGGCAGGATATGATGTTTGCATGCGCCATGTACCCGGTGAGCGACGACTTTCTGTCCTCAGTGCGTGAAGAAGTTCGTCAGAATGCCAAGCGTCTGTCGCATCACCCCAGCGTTGCCATTTTTGTGACCAACAACGAGAACGAAGCCGCGTTGGTACAGAATTGGTATGGAACGTTTAGTGATAGAGAACGATTCGAAAGCGAGTACCGAGAGCTTTACCTGGCCAATGTCATTCACGAACTGAAAATAGTTTCCCATGGCTCTCGGCCCCAGCCACTGGTTTCATCTCCGTCCAATGGAAAGGCGAGTGAGCAGGATAACTACATTTCTAGAGACCCACAGGACAACCACAACGGCGATGGTAATTTGCAGCACAAAAACCGGATTATCACTAAAATGGCTTGTTCCCCCAGTACACTTCTACGACTACTTAAAGGATGCTTGGAATCCAGAGATTTATCCACGCCCTCGGTTTGCTAGTGAATACGGTTTTCAGAGCTTTCCCGGAGCCTATGCCTGGCAGCGCAGCAAGAACGACGACGACGCCCTCCTTCCTCTCTTAAACCACCGGCAACACCATCCACTGGGAAATATTCCCGTGATTACTCTGGTCGAGAGACACCTTCCGCTTCCCATGCCAGAGGACGAGAACTATCCCAACGCCCTGATCTATTTTAGCCAAATTGCCCAGGCGATGGCTACCAAGACCGAAACGGAACTGTACCGAAGCCTTCGGGACACCCCACACAATACAATGGGCGCCCTTTACTGGCAACTAAATGATGTATGGGTGGCGCCATCTTGGTCCAGCATTGATGTCTACGGTAACTGGAAGGTGAGTCCCATAACAGATTAGTCAGTTATCTAGATTATAAAAACTGTTTCTCCTAGCTTCTTCAATACTGGGCCCGTGACTTCCTCGCCCCCATCGCTATCGTTGCCCTCTACGACCGGCCAACCAACTCGCTGAACATCTCACTGATTTGCGACCAGCTGCAGCCAAACACCCGCGGTTTGATGGTCACAGCCAATGTCCATCTCTGGTCCCAGCTGCTTCCGCGCAATTCAACCAGCTGGGTAGTTACCCTGCGGCCGAATGGTGTTCAGTACGACAAGGTCATTCCCATCACGGAACTGCTTAATGGGGATTTTACCATATACAACGCCTTTTTGGAGTTTCAGCTGCGCCGAGGCCAGGAGGTAATCTCCAGAACTTACTTCTTTCCCGCCAGCATTGCCGCAGCGATCGGCATTGAAGACCCCGGATTGGAGGTAAGTGCGATATTTCTTAGCAAAGCAGAGCTAATCACTATTCACTTCTGTAGTACGAGATCGCCTCCAGGACCTGTCTAACTACTGGCAACGTAATCCGGAATAGTATCAGCATCAGCATCCAGGTGAAGCGACCGGCAGTGTTCGTGTATCTGGAACTATTGAAACCATACCGCTACACTCTGTCCGAAAACGGATTCATGCAGACAACGCCGATGCACGTCGTCTATCTGACCTTCGACGCCACATCGTGCGCCCGATTGCTGCGCAAATCGGACCTTCGAGTGTTAACTGTAAATGATTTTATGAAATAGACTTCTGTACTTTCCTTGACAACTTTAATGCGAACTTCTATAAATAGCTTAACAAAAACAAACCAATAAATATATCAGTTAACCGTTTAGCACCCAATACCCGGAAAACCAGATACGCTGAAACACATCCACCATCCGCATCTATCTATCGAAGCTGGGCATTTGCACGCGAGGAGGCCTGTAGCCCTCGGGATATGGCACCAGCTGATTGTTTAAGACGCGTGCGTTGCGCCAGGTCTTCACTTTGTCCTCAGCGGTATCCGGCACGCGAACGCCTTCGATTACCGTCACGGCCGGTCCATCGACGACGCTGTGCGTGCTCTGACCAATGGGGTTGCGCTGGGGTCTTCCGTACCCGCCAAACGGGACTGACTGCCGATGGTCTGCGACTGAGGGCGTCTGTACGGCCGTGCTGGCCGCCACAACCACGGAGTGAGGCATGTAGGTCACGTACTTGGACTGTTGCGGCAGAGCCTTGTAGTTGTGCTTGGTGATTATATTCTGTGGCCGGTAATTCTGAGTGCCACTGCTGGCATAGGCGCGTGTCCCTCTGTCGCTCGTGAAGTACTCGTGGGCGTCGCTGGCTGCGTACTCCATGTCGCTCGGGAAGCTAACTGCAGATCCGGAAGCCAGGCCCGGCACCCCTGGCAAAGTATCCCCGAACTGCCACTGAGAATCCGGCGAAAACGAAAAGTTCTTCCGAGGGCTGTGCTGCGTAAACTGAGTGTATGTCGGCTGCCAGGACACTTCCGAAACGAGCTGCCGGCCCCGGCGGGAGCCGCCCTGCACCGCCTGATACTCTGCCACCTTACTCTGAGCCTTAGACAGCTGCAGCTGGATGAGCTTCGCCTGACGTTGCTCAGCATCCGCTTTGCGCTGCCGGTAAGATTCCATCTGCTGGCCCAGTTCGCTCTGCTTTAGCAACGCCGGGCTGTGCTCAAAGATCAGCTGGCGACCGCTGGCGTTGCTCTTGGGCGGAATGAGAGGCCGCTTGACATCTGAGCTGCGCACAAAGAAGGAACCAGCCGCCTCCTCGGCACGGGCCTTGCGGCTGTTTTTGCCGACTAGGATCTCCACGTCGTCGCCCTTGCTGGACTTGACGTTCACCACCCGCACCTTTGAGGGATCTAGATCGCGTCCGAATCGCAGTTCGGTCCGAATCAGGGCGGGCTTTCCGGTCGCTTTCGGCCGCCAGGCGTCGCCAGACTCGGACAGACAGTTAGCACAACATGCGATGAGCACGATCAGGACGTACCAGGTCAAGCAATTGGTCATCGCCATAGTTAATGGGCTGTGCGCGCTGAAAATGAAGAATAATTTAGTTAATTTTACTTTATTGACTTATAAGAAGTGGACTTAAAGTGGAAAATTAAAAATATTTTGTCCGTTTCTACTAGAAACTAATTAACATAAAACAAAAAAAGAAGAAGATCGTCGGCTAGGCGATTATTTGTCATATAAATATATATTTTAAATTCTTTACTTTATTTCTGGTCACGATGATAAGTTAATTTAATTAAAAGTTGGTTTTTATCTTTATTTTTATGTATTTGCTCAAATAAAAATAATTTGAAAACTGAAAAAAAAATTGTTTAATTGTGTCGGTATTTTTGTATATGGGCATTTCCAAAATGTCGCACGCGACAATCGTACGCATTCAAATCAAAAAAAGTACATTTCATTTTTTTATAAATGTTAACTTATCGCTCTTGCCTCGGACTATAATTGGTGCAAATGTTGATTTTGAGTGTTTGCTCAATTTTAAGAAAATTTTAAAAAACTTAAGGATTCGCACGCGACAAAAATAGAAGTCACTTTCGCGGCGAGCTTTTTATACCCTTGCAGGGTATTATAATTTCGGTCAGAAGTTTGCAACGCAGTGAAGGAGACGTTTCCGACCCTATAAAGTATATATATTCTTGATCAGCATCAACAGCCGAGTCGATCTAGCCATGTCCGTCTGTCCGTCCGTCTGTCCGTCCGTCTGTCCGTCCGTCTGTCCGTCCGTCTGTCCGTCCGTCTGTCCGTCCGTTTGTCCGTCCGTCTGTCCGTCTCTACGCAAACTAGTCCCTCAGTTTTAAAGTTATCTGAATGAAACTTTGCATGTAGTCTTTTATATACTCTCACTGCTATATATGTCGGAACGGGCCGGATCGGACGACTATATCATATAGCTGCCATACAAATGTTCGATACATTTTTAGAAAAAAAATTATAACTTGGCTGTTTTTCAATATTATTGCATCATTTTTGAGATAAAGCCATTTTATATTATTCCAGAATTTTGGTAAAAATTTTATGAAAATCGGACCACTATAGCTGCCATAGGAACGATCGGGAAATTAATCGAAAAAAAATTATAACTTCATTGTTTTTCAACGTATTTTAATCTACTTTGGTACATGAGCTTCTGGTATTATTTCAGAATTATATATATAATATAAATTTTATAAAAATCGGACGGCTATATCTTATAGCTGCCATAGGAACGATGGGGAAAGTAATAGAAAATATTATAACTTCGTTGTTTTTCAACGTATTTTCATCTACTTTGAGACTTGAGCTTTTAGTATTATTTCAGAATTTTGGTAACCATATTATGAAAATCGGACAACTATATCATATAGTTGCCATAAAAGCGATCCGTAGATGTAGAGAAAATGTAAAGCTGGGAATGTAAAACTGTAACTGTCAAACTGTAAACATAATAAGTATAGATAAAATGTTTTGAAACTCAGTTTAGTGTCTGTTTTTGCATTGTAATTTATAATATAAATAAGAAAACCAATCTGCAAGGGTATACAAACTTCGGCGTACCGAAGTTAGCTACCTTTCTTGTTATCATCATACTTTGCATATAATTTTTACTATTATAAGTAAATTGGAAGAGCATATATCCATTTTATTTCGACTTTTTGCATTCTTCTAGTGATGTTAGTAAACAACAGTCAAAGCATAATGCCTCGGTTTGGATGTAATTATCAAAAGAAAACAAACCCATTTTTATGATGTTTTTCATCAAAATAATGAAAAATCGTGTTTGCGCAAATATGCATTCCAATATTTCGAAGTTTGTTTTAGTAAAGTATAAAGCCCTTCAAATTTAATCAATTGGCCTTTTCCTAATGTTACTATGTTGGAAAAAAACATTTTAGAGAAGTTTAAGTTTTTTGGCCGCGGTGGACCTTTCTGTGGAATTGCCCATATTTAACCCTGAGTAGTTTTGGTTTGTCCTTGCATTTTCGCAAACGCAGCTCGACGCAGTCGATGAAAGTTAATTTTGATCCAGAAAAGATCCACGTAACTTATACACAGAAAAAATGGTAGAACGAAAAAATCAAGAATATTTTTCTTGATTTTTTCGATGTGGTGGATTAAAATTTTTAAGTACGATTCGGGGTTAGACAGTCGAGTTAATCCCGTTTCGGGATTAAATGACAAATTAAGCCTAAAAATTCTTGAATCAATCGCGTTTCGGGATTAAAATGACAAAATGAGCGTAAGAATTCTTGAATTAATCTCATTTTGGGATTATAGAGGCATAATAAGCCCAAACATTCTTGAATTAAGCCTAAATATTCTTAAAAATTTGGTGAGAGCAGCAAATCTATTTTTAGCTCAGAGAGAGAGATAACATTTTTGCTCTTTCCTTGAAACTGTATGTATTCGCGTTCCCGACATTAGCTTTTGATTTGACTCAGTGGCCCAGTTGGTAAGCGGACGGTCTGTGATTTCTGAGACATGGGTTCGAATCCCGACCGGGAACTAGGAAAAGTAAGTTTAAGTGGCTTTTAATAAGATTTATACATTAATATAATTAATTTAATAACCATTTGTAGCTTTATAATTACAGATTTAAATAAAAACTTCTCTTTCACTTCTCACTAAGAACTTTAGAGGGATTAAATCAAGGGTTTTTGGGATTAAAATAATTAAGAATTTCGGGGACTAAATCGAGAAAAAAAAATTTTTTTTTTTTTTTAATTAAATTTAAATTTAAATTTTTAAATTAAAATTTAAGAATGTTTGAGATTAAATTAAGAAAAATTGGGATTGAAATTTTTAAGGTTAGCGGGATTGAATCAAGAATTTTCGAGATTGAAAAAATTAAGTATGTTCGTTCTTATATTAAGAAAATCCGACCTTAGCTCGAAATCATGCCCACTTGGGATTGATTTTGGCGACTTTATCCCGGTATTTTTTTTCTGTGTAGACATAGTGTAGTCGGTGACTTTCATCGGCTTCAGAAGTTAAAGACTATTTTAGGCAGAAAAATGTGAAAAAATGGACACCTTGAAGGTTTCGATTTACCTGTTCAAGCCCAAACCAAAGTGTCCTTTTTTTAGGTTCATTAACAGTTTATGAATGTATCTATCATTTAAAGTAAGAACCATGACCATTGGTTTTATGGTTCTTGGGAAATATGGTATTTCCTGTAAGTCGACACATTTTACCCATTTTTTTTTTTGTATGATACAAAGAATGAAAGAAAGTTCAACTTTGAATGCTCATATCTTCTACAAAAAAAATTAAAAATTGAGAAATTTTCGAATAAGCATGCTTAAAATCGTTTTTGCCAATATGATTTTTTCGATTTTTGCAACGCTAATTGTTAGACAGGCGCTACTATGCGTCAATGAGACTATAACTAAAAAACTTTTCGTCCATTTTAATGCAAACCTAATACATGTACATATATATTAATCGTCGAATTTCAGATAATTTACAGCCCATGCATTCGTTGTTTGGATTTTGTGTTGGACGACAGTAACCAAAACGATGTTTGAAAATTTTGTACTGCGGAGTAACCCACTGGTGTGTAATACAAATAAGTTCATTTGGTCAGATACACCGACATTGCCCAAACAAATTTTTAAAATTCTGCCTATCAAGAATGAATTAGTCTCTGATATCAGATGTTTAATGCGAAAAGACGGAAATGGAATAGTCGGCTCCAGTTGGTGAATTGAACAATATAGTACATGTACATTTGAATATAATTTATGGAGATGCCCCCTTGTGTTTGAATTACCCTCGGGTGGCAGTAACTTATAAGACCCTTGTACCTACCGGAGTACTGGGTATAAAAATACCTCATCCTAGAAACCAAAGTTCCACAAGCTAAATTGTAGGAAGAAGTAACACAGTATATTAAAACCATATATTATCAAGTCAAAAGTCTCGAACTATAAAATTGTTGTAATTGCTTAGTTAGAGCCGATTAAAGAGGGATAGGGATAGAGGACGCGTACAATATCTATACAAAACTATATCCAATGGAACTAAGTTGCTACATTTCGATTTCCGACGATTTTTTAGAGTCGGAAACTCAGGTTTGTAATATGCACAAACACAACATAGCAAAACTGTGAATATTAACTGCGTTATCTTATTAGCTTTATTTGATATAAATATATATAGGTATTATATTTTCGTTATAGTACTGGCTTTGTGTCGTTGAAATGCCAATGGTAGCGTCAATGTCGACAACCGTAAAAAGTAGCCATAATTTCCTCATACCAAGGCGGTAAATGAAAGTTTAATTTTTTAATAGATGTTTCGCTTTCTGAGTTTGGTGCACCTAGCAAAAACACGCAAGTGCAATAAATGCTACACTGGAAGCAGTGAAGCAACCGTATTCTGCTCTTAAGCTGCCTGACAATAATTCAATTAAGAGCGGCATGAAAATCCGACAAGATATTAAGCCAGATTAAATTTGTAATTTGGTGCTTATTATCTCGCAAAAGATCAATTGTCTGAGCATTTCTTAACGGCATTCGGCTAAAGAGGGTTACATTTAGTGTCCGTTTCAGTCTGAAAATGATAGGAAAAACTCAAACTTCATTTTTTTTGTTTTCAACATAAACCGATGTTTCTATTCTGAGATATGAACTCTTTTAATTTTTTAAAATAATGGAATCTATTAAATAACTATAACATTCGGCACTCGCAATATACATAGATTCCAATAATTGTCAAGCATTCTTTAAACTTCAAATATTTACAATTTACAAATATTTACATTTATCTCATTCCGTTTGGAGGGGATTTGTTTAAAATAGAAATATTTAAAATATATTTTAAAGTTTATTACATTTGTTCATATATGTATGTATTTTTAAACATACCTACATATATGTCGGAGATTACCCTGAAATGTCAGTTGTAATTACTATTTGTAAGTCTCCAAGTGTATCGAATATGGAAATAAAGGAAGAGTAAAATAAGTAACAACGAGAGAATAGGAAGAGAACTTATTAAGAAAGAGCGTGGTGGGGAAAAAGAGAGTATTCCCTACCG